AGACTGGTAACAAAGTCAATACGACTATTGACCTATATATATATATATGATATGATCTGTTAAATTCTATTTATATCTATGTATTTAATAATCCTTAGGTCTCTGGGAAGAAAGGTGAAGCCCATGGTTAACCTATTACCAAAATAAAAACTATACTTCATTATCATTATTGGAAAAAACTATCTGGGAAAATGTAAACAATTATACAAATGTATTTCTGCTCACTTCTTTTATCTTTGTGTGTGTTTGAACATTCTAAATGCATGATTAACTCGTTAGTTTCTCTTTTTATTCTACCACTTTGTAACTTGGATTCTTGCTTGTTTTTTTTTAAAAAAAAATATACAGAAACCTTGAAGTGGATTATAATTTTCTTTTGTTAATTTCTTACATGTCAGTCAATCAGCAACAACGTAGAACTTCGTACTTACGTACATCAGTTCAAGTTGCCACACCACATTAGCGCAGAGATTCAGTTGTCGATTCAAATCCCATAATGGTAGTGGTAGTAAGAGTATAAGCAGTAATCGGAAAGATTAGGGTTTGACGATGTTATTTAAATAGTATAATACAGTGAAATAAATTTGGAAAGAGGAAAAAAGGGACATGAAGAATTCAGAAGATTAGAATTTGGTAGAACACAGAGAGTGGATGCACCTGCGCCATTGCAAACGATTTTGAGCCATGTCATTCATGGTCTCTAACCATCGGTTGCTATCATCTCGCGGTCCCCAACCACGTAGTCTACACCTACCAACATGACTCAGTCTACCTGTCAGTGACTTCATGGACTTGTGCCATGTTTTGGTCTGGCCGCTCCTAGCTTCCTTCTAATCTACTCCTACACCATAAAACATCGCAGGTCGGGACAGTCGGTGGTTGTACATACGTAACACATGTCCCAGCCATCTCAACTGATGAAGTTTCACTACTTCATCAATTGATTGGCCATCCTTACATTGTGCCCGTTTCCCAACAACCGCGTTACTTACTCGATGGTCCTAGGATATACGAGCAATGCATTGAAGACACAATTTATTTCTGTATCTTTCAGAACACGAAACTATAAGCACAACCAAAGGAATTTGATGAAGAAAACTAATTCATGTGAGCAAGTGGATTCAGAGTCAAATCGGATTCAGACAAAGTAATTAATAAAATTAAAGTACACAGATATATGTAGGAAAGTGAATGATTTATCCAGCGATATTTAAACGACTAAACTGTTTAAGCTAGTAAAAGAGATAATATGCGTCGGTTGTCACATATTTTTTCAAGTACACATGATCATACAAAATAATAGATGAATATGTTCATTGAAGAGTTTGACAAGAAAAATTAACCGTAAACAAACTTAATTGTATGAAAGAGGGTACTAATAACAGTAAACATTTCAACAATTAAAAGAAAGTATCCTATACATATTAAGTAATCAATTGTTAGGATAGTCGGAAAAATATACCAATAATTATTGTGTTAAATCTACGGTGGCCTTGGACCTTAAATGTACATTTCTTATTGATCGATGTTTATTTCACTTGTTAAATATTTTGTAAATGTTGTTCTCTATTTTATGGTACGATGTGGTTTGTTTGCTTGGTATATAAATAGAGTATGTTTGAAATACAATGATTCATAACTTAGAGGCTGTGACTTGTGTTCTTGACTCAACTGGCTAGGACGGAGAGCGAAGCAGGGCACTAGGTCGTCCACTACGTGTCCACTGTCACGGAATCGATCGATAAAACGCTGCTTAAAAAAACCTGCAGTTACACACGTTACAACATCAATAATAGTCAGATAGATCTGTAATTGATATTCATGTGTTCACAATTCACCAGATTAGAATTCTACTTATAATGTTGACTATTCTATGTCTATTTCATTTAATTGTAAATAGTATTTCTAGACTTTAATCAATGAACATATCTAAGGGGAAAAGTGAATTTAGCAAAGAATACTTTTTTCTTTTCTTTGGATGGAATCATTTACTTAAACTGTTCATTCATAAACTTATTTCTCTTCTTTACCTTTTTCATTATTAGTATGTAATCTTATTTGTTATTTAGTCTTGTTGGAATATTCAGAAAAATATCCCAAGAATAATTCTGTTAAGTTTAATGTTATTCTTGAGTGTGAAATGGTGTGATTTTCCTGTTAGCCAAATATTGTACAAATGTGTATTTTCTATTTTATTGGTACAATGTAGTTTGTTTGGCTGGTGTATATAAACCCAGTATGTTTGAAATATAATGATTTATATTGCAGAGGCTGAGATTAGTGTTCTGAACTTAACTGGGTGGGCTAGGCACGAAGTAGGGTCAATATGAAGTCTAGACTACTTGTACGAGTTTTAGGCATTATTAGTCCGATCGATAATTCATTGCTCTCTCTAATTAACGGTATCATTAGGTTATACATTAACAGGGCACACAGGTCACAAGTTATAAGAATTACTTTATGGAATGATGGCCATATTTTGGTTTGACCCCCCCCCACCTCCTAACCTTCTTCTCAACCATCATTCAAAGACTATAGTTTCACTTTATCAACTAGATTAGAATTATAGTCAATGATCTAATTACAACAACAAAAACAATCTAATGACATTACAATTTATTCATCTTCTAATCATATTTAACGTATAACACATTAAGATTGTATCCATGAACAAGGAGAATCAAAACAAAACAAACAAACAAGCATAAACAACTTGAAAAAAACTTTAAATTGAATGACAAATAAGAAAAACAAAAGTATTTTAATATAATATACAAACAGAAATGATGTAACTTACTGAGATAAAGTGAAATCTTGAATGAATATACCATTATTCATAATAGTGATAATAATCTAGTTACTAACAGGATCTATTAAAAGCATAATCTTTCAATTAAACATAGAAATCAATCTCCCAACACATGCGAATGGGAATGAAATGGAGAGGTGGTGATGGGGGGAGAGGTGATGATGATTAAAGTCAATGAATGAATGATTATATAAATAAATAAATAAAATAAACAAGTACACAAGAAACTTTGTATCCTTTTTAAATACATATATAATGTGAAAGTAGGTTTTCATCATATAAGTTCCAATGGAATTATGCATTAATGAATTGAATTCTGTAAACAAAAATGTGAAAAATATAAAAAGAAGTAAACTATCAATAAAGAAAAAAACAACTCGTGAGATATTAGTGCTACTCTCTTGATTATAGTCAGTCAGTCAGCTACAACGTAGGACCAGGCACATATATACATCGGTCGAAGTTGCCATACCTCATTAACACAACAAGATGGATACCAGATTCATAGAAGCAGTTATTTCAATGATAGTAATGTATAAGAGAAAGATTGCATATAACGATATAGTACAGGAAGAAAGGATTAGTTCGTAGAAAGAAAGATATGAAGAGATTCTAATCTCTTAGTTTAAGGGAAGACAGCGAGTGTTGTATACACCTACGCCTTTATGTCGATTCTGAGCCATGTCACCCAAAGTCTCCAACCATTGGTTAAGATAGTCACACGGACCCCAACCAAGTAGTCTGCATCTCCCAACATAGCTAAGACTAGAAGTTAATGACTTCAAGGACTGGTGCCACGTTTTGGTTTGGCCGCCGCCAACTTTCTTCCAATTATCTCCAATACCGGTTAGCATTGCACGTCGTGGTAATCGGTGTTCAGGCATACGCAACACATGGCCCAAACATCTCAGTCGATAAAGATTAACAACCTCATCAACTGACGTACCATCATCATGCTCTAATACCCTGCATTTAACCTCACTATTACTTACCCGGTGATCCCAGCAAATGCCATCAATATTTCTAAAGCATCTGTGGTCAAATTCTAGTAGCTTACGAGTGTCTTCCACTCTTAATGGCCATGTTTCGCTGTCGTAAATTAAAACGGAATGGACTGCCGCGCAGTATAATCGTCCCTCTTGATTATAGATTTATGAACAGACAAACACTCTAATTTATAAAATGTTGAACAACTGTTTAGTTCTAGTATGAAACTATTCAGCAGTGAACACAAAGTATCTTGTTAGAGATAGAACAAACAGTCTTTAAGTGTTACAACAAGTGCAGAACCACTTAACAGGTATTCTATCCGATATTACGCGACCAAATTTCAATATCGTTTACAGGTAGGTAACTGTCTCACACAAAACATAGGTGAACTTCATTAGTCACGGCTTGTCGCTAAGTCCAGGTAGTGATATAATCAAGCTTGTCACTGGTTTATGTATCTCATCCTTTACAAAATAAAGTCATCCCTTGGCCAATCACGTGAATTTTCCACTTTAATGATTCTTAACCGGCTTAATATAACAATATGTCTTTTTCAATTGAAGATTTCTAATATACTCACTGGATTGTTATATCAATTCATATAATACTATGGTCAGCTCGGATATTCATTCACAAATCACACATATACAGTTCAAACTTCATAGGATCACTGTAGTTTATACGTATAGTTTGTCAGAAATACACTTTTTTCTTCTAGAATATTTCATAATAGACAATTAATATGGCACATAGTCAATTGGATATTATTTACTATTTCAATAGGATTAGGCTAGACTAACACAGTTTATACACGTGAAATTTTTATCAACATCTGATGTTCAAGTGAAACGTGAAGAAGGCAAATAATCTAAGAGAAATTCCAGATCGACTTTAGGTTTGGTCAAAATACCAAAGAAGAAAGGAATCAAGTAGGTATTGATAGTGAATGTAATTTTTGAAACAGACGCAAACACTTGCATACACATTTGGCTGTGCTCTAGTTACCTCTTGTCGAATGAGGTATAAAGATAGATATATAATATAACGATTGAGAAATAGGAAACTGAATTTCTCAATCATTCATACGATTATATAAATAGATGGAAATATACTTACCATGGTTGTCGATATTACAGGTAAAGAGCGATAAAACTTCATCATATATATAGAAGGGGAGAGGCGTAGTCAAATAGAGTTAAATTTAATCAGACCAACTGAGACTAGACAATGAACTCCAACTGCCACATCTTGGACCCATAAATCCACCACCCCAACCACCCAAACCACCAAATAGACGACTTGCCAAATAACCACCAGCTACTCCTGAAGCGAGACCTACACACAAATAAATAAGAATAACATGTAAACTATTCAGTAAAAATTTAGTTGGCTTATTTGTGCCCTAAAAGAAAGATTTTTCATAAATATCATATTGTTAAACCTTTATTGGAAATTTCACATGAATTGAATATTGCGGCCAAACCGACTTACTACAATGAGACAATCAGAAAAGCGAATCCATTTAGTCAATCAGAAAACATCATACATACATAACTTTAAATCGTTATTCAGAAACATAAATCGTATTGCTGACCTTAAGCTTATCATCAACGTTCAAAAGACAACATTCTATTAAGACATATGCGCTTCGAACTTGTAACAACTTCTTTGATGCACCCTTCTAAGTTAGCTTTATCAAAATTCATACAACTTTCGAAATAAACATAACTAACAACGGATCATGCTTTCACTTTGCATAGTAAAATTCATTCTGGCCAAAGGTATTCGACTTGACGTAACCGTAGTTGTTACCTTGACGTGGTGATCTGGCTTATCTATCGTGATGAACCATTCGACCTATACTTTCTGCAGATCCTACATTATTTCTGAAGTTGGTCGGAGAACTATTAGATTAAAATTAGCAAACTTGTGGTCAAAGGGCGAAGTCATACTGTCGAATACTGTATAGGGGTGTAACAGCAATAAGGTGCTTCTATCAAACAATTACCATGCATTGTGATGTTGCCTTCTTATAAAGGAAAGGAGAGGTTATAAATGGACGGCCTAGAAAATATCACAACTCAACTATATGACTTTCTGTCTCTGGTAGTAAGGTGGACAACTGTGGAACAACGTGAGTGGTGACACTTTTAGGGCCGGTCTTTTCTAACCCTTTCCTTTTATTGTGAGAAGGCGCGAATGTGCACTAACCCAAGTTTCCACAACAAACCAGAACAAGATGAGAATAATAAGATGAATATCAAATGAGATCTAAATAATATACAAACAATGGAAATGAGAACGACCAAACATTGGGAATATAGTCCAAGAAGATGAAATGAAAAAAAATATGTATGAAGGGAGATTAGAACAAAAGATCTAAATTAAGATGAATGGATTTGAGCGATTATGACAGATCCTAAGTGAGATCATACAAAATCTGCAACCACTAATCCCAGTTACTTCATGGACATCTAACAATAGACGTGTCAAACAACCACCTCAATTGATGAAGACGCATAACGACATCAACTGATCTAGTTACATTTATTCTTTATTATATCTCATAAATTCATACAGTTCTATGCTTTATTCAAAATATTATTTAGTCGAAATGCTCTCACATGGCCACGTGCATAAAACCACTGACAGGGAAGTCCTAATTACTGCCTTCTCGCACCATGGATGTTGTTCATGAAATTGAGAGGACGAAAAGCGAATGCCCACCGCTTTAAACGGGTTGGTGGACACAGAGAGTCTACATAGGGGAGTTGGAAAACCCTCATTCCAAAACCAATGGTACACATTAGCTCCAGGATCCTGAAAGGACAAATGGCTACCATGGGACTGCATCTCTTGACGTTGCCCCACTACCTTGTGAATTAGATCTTTAGATCAAAGGCTCCGTGTGTGACCTCCTTGAGATAGTTGTTATGAAACTGAATAAAAAGCTTCTATTCATAATTTTAAATGATTACATAACACACACAATAATGAGATTGATAGATATTTTTATAAATAAAATTGTATTGTCTTATGATTCTCTGAATAATTTAGATGTTTACAAATTATATATTAATATTGTATTATATTTGATAATCTAAATAGGAATCAAGACAGTTGTTATTCTTCAGAACAATTAAATCAGTCATTCTTATCACTGTGAAAAAAATATCAGTAAGTGAATATGTGTAGTAGATATATATGAATGAATTAAGATGAGTAGTAACCATGTGACCACCTAGTACACTCTTCAATATTGGATGATAACTAAGTTGTAACTAGTGTCATACTTATTTGAGGGGGGAGACTACAATTTGAATGTTTTCACTATTTTAGAATTCTTTCAAGTTTTCAGACTGATTAAAGTGATAGTCCACTTATATCAATACATGAATCACAATGTTTCTTTAAATTAAACAATGATACGAGATGAATCAATTCCAGTCATTGTTTATTTAATTTTATTTAAACACATAAACATTGGTAAAAGGAGGCACCAAATAGATATGCATCACACTTCATCATTCGATTTGTGTGAGAGCTGAAATACTTTGCGGGTACCTAAACCGAAGCAGGTGATTTTCTTAGGAAGCTACTTCTCGGACTTTTGACCTAGAGGTTTAATCCACAAAGAGATGTAGTCCCACGGTAGCCGATGACCAACAATAGGTTCACACGTCATTTGTCCCCTTAGATTTCTGTAGACCATATGACCATTGGTTTGAAATAAGGGTTTTCCAACCCCCCTATGTGGACTCTCTGTGTCCAGCAACCCGGTTAAAGTGCCGGACATTCGCTTTTCGTCCTCTCAATTTCATAAACAACACCCCTTTCGCGAGAAGGCAGTGAGTAAAACTTCCCTATCAGTGGTTGTATGCACGTGGCCATATGAGAGCATTTCGAGAGGGAGAGCTGACTCTTGGTTGTACCAGGGTATTTGAGGGCTAAACCCCTCGTAAAAACATTTTTAATGTGACGACCAAGTGTACTCCGAATGCAAAAAACAATTGCTCTCAATTGTCTACAGCAACAACTCAAATAAATACAGACTCTCTAAATGCAACACAAGTTACTACAACTTCCCCTATCTCTACTATGAAACCATTTCTACGAAACGATGTTCAACCTATGTCAAGTCTGAATACAGTAGGCTCATTCCCAAGATCTACTCCTCGACGTGGAACGTACAAATTTAAAGATACTGATGATAGTCATCCTATCACCACTACTACTACAAGTCGTCGTAGGACTAGACATTCTTCTGGATGCTCAATACTATAGGAGGAGGTTGGATAAAAGCTAGGAACGGCCAGACCAAAACATGACACAAATCCATGAAGTCACTGACAAGTAGACTGAGTCATATTGGTAGATGCAGACTACGTGGTTGGGGACCGCGAGATGATAGCAACCGATGGTTAGAGACCTTGAATGACATGACTCGAAATTGTTTGCTATGGTGCAGGTGCATCCACTCTCTGTGTTCTCCCAAATTCTAATCTTCTGAATTCTTCATGTCCCTTTCTTTTTTCTCTTTCCAAATTTATTTCACTGGATTATACTCCTTGAATAACATCTTCAAACCCTAATGTTTCCGATTACTGCTTATACTCTTATTACCTCTACCACTATGGGATTTGAATCGACAACTGAATCTCTGCGCTAATGTGGTATGGCAACTCCAACTGATGTATGTATTTACGAAGTTCTGCGTTGTTACTGACTGACTGACTAACTGACTGGAGGGCTAAACATCAATGGGAAGAGTTAAACAAGTGTATATAGAAAAGGTTAGGTATTTATTCGAATACAAAAAGAAAACAAAGAGGAATGTAACAGTAGCAACCAATCAATATATTGGATAAACAAAAAAAAGAAAAAAAAACCCACGTTACTATTATTATTAATTCTATAAGTAAATAATTGTTTATGATAAAAAAATTATGTAGCCATAATAATATAGTTCTTGTTTTGATTATCTATTGTTGACCTTGAATGGTATTGATTATTTCTTTTGGCAATAAAAAATAAATCGATTCATCTTTTATGAATATAAAAGAACCAATTGACTTATACTTAGAAATTATTATATGTGGAGTAAAAAACGTGATCGGAATTGTAAGATGTTATGATGATTGAAAATTTTAATGAGAAAAATAAATTGAAACCCAATTGGTATTATTAAATAAAAGCTACTTTACATTTTATTTTATACAAGATAGATGTTAACATTATGAACATGGTGACGAAGATCTGTAAGTTGAAAGTTGGTAGCCGGTGACCAACGATTGGTTTATACGCCATTTGTTCCTTTAGGATACTGGAGCCCATGTGCACCATTGGTTGAGAGAGAGAGAGAGAGATGATTCTCCACACACTCAGCCGTACCAGGCCATTTGAGGGCTTTTTCACACAAAAAAAAAACATCATCTAACAGTGTCATCGGCGGAGGACGAAACATCAAGCAGTTTGTACCATTCTATGATGATCAGATTAAAGGTCAATAAGTTTAAATAAGTTGATGGCTTGATGTCTTAGTCTGCTTCGTGTCACTAATTATTTTTTTAAACTACTCTATTAAGTAAACCAGGATCGGATATCAGTGTAATAAAAAGATACAAAAATGATGGAATTGGTATCTGTAGCCGCGAAGTAAAAGTCTACACATTCTCTTTCAATGGAATAATTGAAAAAAGGAACTATCAACTCATACAACATCACTGAAAGCAATATTAATCATTACATAAGATGGATTTGGATTACAAAAAGAAATAAATCCAACTTACCAACTGCTGCATTTTTCAATCCTTTACATTTCTTCTTTTTCGGTTTACCATCTACATAGACCACTTGATATGGTTGACCATTTTGCCCGACAAAATATTGACTTTGTGGATCTTGTGGACGTGGTTGATAACCACTATAAGAACTTGTCCCAGGCACATAAGCACCTGATGCTGGTGGTCGTGCAGGGGGTACTGTTGGTGGAACATAATTATTAGTTGGGTATCCATAATTGGGTTGACTAATCGGGGGAGGAGGCCCATAACCGCCTATAAAATTCATAGATATTTATTAGTATGGGGGTTGTGAAAATTGTTGAATGTTAGTGCGAGATCACAAACAGATGTAAGTTGAACAACTATTCGAAAGCTGGAAGCACTCTGGACAACTGTTTACTCCCAATAAAGGGAGCCTTCACCACTCGTCATGTACGACCCTAAACCACAAGATGTTCAATAATTATTTAAGTCAATTCGTGATCCCAAAAAGAATTTGTATATTAAATTTAAAAAATAATCTAGGAGAAATTTACATACCAGGATTTCCACCATAAGCAGTTGGATCAGGCACTGAAAATTGAGAAAAGATGGAAGAAAACAATTACGGAATTATATTTCAAGTTTAACTAACAATAGTATACAAATAAATCTATTAAAGAAAGAAATCAATAACTCAAACAGCGATTGACAAATTGATTTCGTGGATTAGTTGAAGTTAGACATTAACACCATTGGATGCCAGCCAGCTCAGTGGTCTCACCATTAAGCGTTCGAGCGCGAGATCGATAGGTTCTGGGTTCGAATCTCGCGTGGCGGGATTGTGGGTGCTCACTGATGAGGAATTCTCATTTATTTATTTAAACACATAAACATTGGTACAAGGAGGCACCAAATACATATGCGCCACATAAATCATTCGATTTGTGTGAGGGCTGTGATACTGCTCGGGTGCCCAAACCGAAACAGGTGGTTTTCTTAGGGGGTCACACCCTAAGCGTTTGACCTAAAGGTCTAGCCCACAAGGCAGTGGAGCATCGCGAGGAGATGCAGTCCCATGGTAGTCGGTGACCAATGACTGGTTTATACACCATTTGTTCCTTCAGGATACTGGAGCCCATGAGCACCACTGGTTTGGAATCCGGTTAAAGCACCGGACATTCACTTTTCGTCCTCTGAATTTCGTAAACATCCCCGCCGCGAGAAGGCAGTGAGTAGGACTTCCCTGGCAGAGGCTGTATACGCGTGGCCGTGTGAGAGCATTTCGAGAGGGAAGGCGGACCCACCCCACTCTCGGCCATACCAGGGCATTTTGGGGCACTGATGAAGAGTCCCACAATGGGATGAGATAACTGTCCAGTACTTAGTTGAACAGTTCAAAGAAGATTAATTTAAGCAAACAGTAAATGGATATAAATATCGATACATACACGCGTACATCTTTAGCTAAATAAAACAGAGCCATCACAACTAATGAGAAAGTAGTGTTACTAATTGTAAGAAATAATAAAGCATTACTACTGTGGATAGTTTAAGCATTGAATATTCAAATCTTGATGATTAAGCTATAAAAAAAAACAATTACTGTCGTCTAACTTTTGCGAAACCTTGATATCCATGATGAATATGATGAATTTCATTGTCAAAAAATCCTTATAATACAATTCAATTATGATTTCAAATATACAACTGATCAAGATCAAAATATTTGATCTTTATATGTAATGCTAATTTTGACATTTACATCAGAATCCGGATATGCATGGAACAAGATTTAAATATCAATTTATAGATGATTATCACAGAATGTCAATGTTAAAATCTCTCGATCCTATTGTTAAATACTTAAGAATAGAAACACCATTGCAAGTGATACGATCTGTAGTATAATATGAAGACGATTTATTGAAGATTTATTTGGAACCCAATATAAATCAAAATGTACTTTTGAAATATATACTGGTTTTAATATGATTACTGGTTAGATTTGTGTATATATTAAACTGTGTAGTACTTGATATTGATTATTCAAATGATTTTCTGACTACTAATATGGATATTTACATTATCAGAAAATTAACTTCCTATAAGGGAAAGATATAACTAATATAATCACCCCCCCCCCTCTTCAAACTGTGACTACATGACATCGAGATGATTGGAAAAAAAATCAATATCATCTGCCAGTCACACGCAAATTAATTAAGACCTCGGTCACCACCATATCAATCAAAGACTACTGAACATTAAATACGACATAACGATGGTAGAGTATGTTATATCTAGAAGCTTAGATTCTTAATATACCACATATGATTTGAGCACCCGAACGCTAGAACCCTTCCCAAGTCACAAATGGGAAAACAGAAGAAGACTGGAGAAAATGTTTGTTGGGCTAAAATCGAAATATACAGAAAATCATGAGTATTTATAGATATTAACGTTTGTTAAAATATTTAAATTCGATCAATCTGCAAAGAGGCATTTTATGCTACTGACCAATAGTAGAATGCCACGTTGATATTCTAGAAAGCTCCATTGCGTTCTGATTAGATGGAATTATTCGGCTCTTCTAGAGCCTCTAGAGACTTCATCGTAGTTCTCAGAAGCCATCCCAACAGAGTGAAGGACAAAACATTTGTATTTGAATTTAGTTAATACAATCAAAGTCCAGCTCCTCAAGTTGTATTTTAGACATGAGGAACCAATTTGACCCTAAATGAACTGTAGAATAGTTTTCAAATTATCCAATGTATAAAGACACTAATAAATAAGAATTCTATCACTATTTCTAACAATTTTGAAGTGATGTAAACTATAGAACTTTTCTTGATTAACACATTCTTACACAATGAAACATGTCAACATGAAAATAAAGTTGTGTTTGATCTTTATGGAAAAAATACAACAAACAAAAATATGATTATATTTACTTCCAAAACCGATTGATCCTGTAGGTAGAGCTGGTGCCGGTGAAGGTTGATATGGTGGAGGGGCAGATGGAAGTGTTGAAGTTTGCTGAAACTGAAACACGATTATATTTTGTTATACAACAGATGTCAAGGTACTCTATGATAAATAAATATGTACATTATGAAGCAGGTGATTTATTACTCAGAAGGATATCTATTCAATTAACTGGATAGTTGTTTCGTTGTGAAGCTCTCAATGTCTTATAGACAGTGATTATTAGTACGTACTTTAAACAGGGTATAAGTACACTATAAGGATGAGTTTAAAACAACTGCGATGAGATTACAGCTACTATATAGCCAATAAAAAAAAACAGCTCTTATAAAAACAGATAGTTTATAGAAAAGAAGTTAATTTATATAGAAAGAGTTCTCACATTGTTCCTACTTAAGATTAGGTACATAGGATAAAGATTAAAGATTAAGGTTTTAATTACGAACTGACATTAATTATCATATAAAAATTCTGTTTAGTTATATAGATGGATAGATTTTCGCTTAAAAGTTCCCGTTATGCTATATGATTAGTTCATCTCTGAAATGTAGTCCCATCAGATTAAGACGTATTTTAAAATATTATCAATTCGCCTGTTATATACACTTTACAGACAATTCGATACACTTAACATTATCGTTTTTACTCAATCGTAGCAAGCATTAATCTTATTTTTTCTGGTAAGCGTTTTTTTAACGAGTTAGTTTTCTACGGGATGGGGACGCTAACCCCATGCCCAACCCTCCTCCTTTACCCGGGCTTGGGACCGGCAGTAACTCTAGAAGAGCTACAGGCGGAGTTATTATTATTACTATTCGTTAAACACAATAATCTATTACTGCTAACTATTCTGATATTTATCTTGATAATTTCATCTTGGTGAGTTGATAATAAAATGTGGCAACTTCAACCAATTCCCATATGTTCCAGGTTACACATTGTATTTAGCTGATTGACTGAGATTTTAAGTACCTTAGACAGAGTTCTATAAAGCGAAATCATGTTATTCTTCTGAATTACTTGTTTTAAATCATTCTGAATATGTGTTAAACTGCATTACATTTGAATATATAAAATAACAGTAATACGCTACACGTACACCGATAACAATGTTTACTAAAAACTAAACGACACAAAGAAGAAATCTAACCTCGTTAACCTTCATCTTCAGAAGTAAGGCTTATCAGAGTACGGAGCGCACAAAAATTCCCGTTTCGCTACCTCCAAACAGTTGTCACTTGGTTATCTAGTCACCCTACGATATGATCAAGAAATCTAAGCCGGTTTTCTCTGTTTATATATCTCAAAAAGCGATATGCTTCCACGGTGTGGGCAACCGGGAAGTGACAACCTCCTTACTAGCTATAAAAGCGCTCGTAATGCTCTTAAGATCGAATACGCTTGTTACTTCTCATTAATATTTCCATTCTCACTACAAACCATAATTCTTATGAACCAGCTTTTATCCAACACGGCTGAACTGAACAAAAATTACTTTGTCACATACTGAATGAAACTCCACCTACAACTCCTCTAGTGTTAGTGCCGGTCCCAAACCCGGGTAAAGGAGGAGGGTTAAGCAGGGGTTGGCAGCCCCATCCCAAAGGAAATAACCTTGCTAGAAAAACGCTAATCAGAATAAACAATTTAAAACATTTAAACACTGCCCTCTGAGTTGAAGGAAGAATTATGACGCCTCATGATAGAAGCCGAGTTCCTTCGGAAGTCACGAGGCCGATGCCACTTCTAACAACTCGAGCAACAATTTTTATAGGTACATGGAACGCCCGACCGTTGTTGCTACCTTGACGTGGTGGTCGGGCTTGCCTATCGTGATGAAGCAACCGAGCTATACTGGCTGCAACCAACCGTTCCTCAAGATCCTACCATGTCAGACAGGTCGGTTGAAGAGCGGTAAGACTAAAAGCAACAAACCCAAGGTCCGAAGGCGAAGTCGTACTGCTGACTGTACAGAGGTGTGACAGCAATAAGGTGTTTCTTTCAGACAACCAGCATGACAGCGATGCTGTTTTCCCACAAGGAGGGGTGGGGTTAGAAAAGGTCGACCCTAAAAATGCACACCTCACCTTATCCCACGGATATCCGTCTCCGGTGGTAAGGCCCTTTGAAGAACGGAGCTAACACGTCAAAAACCTCCCACGAAAAGGCCGTGCGCGACCGGCCTCAAGCAGTTGTCTCTTGGGCACTGCGGTCACGCTCCCAAGTCACTAAGACCACCTCTAATCCAATTTCCTTTTCAGGTACCTCCAGAACAACCCTTCCACGGTGTGGGCAACCGGGAAGTGATAACCGCCCTCATAACTCTAACAGCACCCAAGACCACTGTATTCATAATCAACCTTCCTCTTCAATTCCTATTCTTCATCCTACATCAACTTTAAACCCTAAACTTCCTCCTTCGGCTTCCTCCTCAAGTGTCACCATAGCCAACGATTCTAGTGCTCAAAACTGTCCCAGGTCTACTGAAACCTCGCTCCAAACTACACATTGGAGCTTTCAACGTACGTACTCTATGACAAATCGGTCAGCAGGCTTCCTTGGCTAAAAACCATAGAGTCTCTTTCCATTGCTTCAGGACTGGTCTGCGTCAACACCTGAACTAAGGATAGGGAGTGAAGTAGTCGAACGCGTCGACAACTTCACTTATCTTGGAAGTCTGATCAGTCCTCATGGGTTAGTGTCTGACGAAATCTGTGCTTGGATTCAGAAAGCTCGTTTGGCTTTTACCAACTTACATCACCTTTGGCGAAGGCGAGATATCCGTCTATCAATAAAAGGACGAGTATACTGCGCGGCAGTCCGTTCTGTTTTACTTTACGGCAGCGAAACATGGCCATTAAGAGTAGAAGATTTTCGTAAGGTACTAGTATTTGACCACAGTTGTCTTAGAAATATTGCTCGCATCTGCTGTGATCACCTGGTATGTAACAGTAAGTTTAGACGCAGGTTATTAGGGAATGGTGATGGTATATCAGTTGATGAGGTTGTAAATCTTCATCGACTGAGATGTTTGGGCCATGTGTTACGTATGCCTGAACTCCGATTACCATGATGCGCAATGTTAACTAGTGTTGGAGATGGTTGGAAGAAAGTTAGGGACGGCCAAACCAAAATGTGGCACCAGTCCTTGAAGTCACTAACTTCTAGTCTGAGCCATGTTAGTAGATGCAGACAACTTGGTTGTGGTCCGCGTGACTTTCGTAACCAATGGTTGGAGACTCTTAGTGACATGGCTCAGAATTGATCACAATGGCGTAGGTGCATACACTCCCTGTCTTCCCTTGAAATAAGAGATTAAAAACGCTTCATATCTTTCTTTCTACGAACCGATTCTTTCTTCTTGTACTATATCTCTATATGCAATCTTTCTCTTATATATTACCACCTTTGACCTAACCACTCCTATGAATCCGGTGTTCATCTTGTTGTGCTGATGCGGTGTGGCAACCTGGACCGATGCACATATGTGCCTGGTCCTACGTTGTAGCTGACTGACTGAGTGACATGGAACGGCCGGACAATGTGGGTGACCGGGGAGACCAGTCAAATAGCACCGGAAATGAGGAGATACAAATCGGCAGTACTGAAAATCAACGAAACCCATTGAACCCAAGCTGGACAGCAAAGGCTAAATACGAGAGAGGTGCTGCTATACTCCGGTCACGAAGAGGAAAATGATCCACACACTCAGGGAGTTGCTCTGATGCTGTCCAAACAAGCACGAAATGCACTTGTAGGATAGGAATCTCACGGATCCAGATTCATCAAGGCATCATTCAAAACAAAACACGAGGGGATTACAATGAATGCTATCCAGTGTTATGCACCCACCAATGATAGCAATGACGACGATAAAGATCAGTTCTACGATAGGCTGCAATAAATCATACCGAAGTGTCCAAGAAAGGACCTCATCATCCTAATGGGAGACACCATTCGTTCCGTCAGGATCCTGGTGCCCATGTGCAACATTGGTTTGGAATCAGGATTTTTCAACTTCTCTATATGGACTCTCCATATCTACCAACCCGTTTAAAGAGCCGGACATTCGCATCTCGTCCTCTCAATTTCGTAAACAACACCCCCGCCGCGAGAAGGTAGTGAGTAGGACTTTTCTTATTTATTTATTTGAACACATAAATATTGGTACAAGGGGGCGCCAAATATATATATACGCCACACTTCTCTGGCAGTGGTTGTATACACGTGGCCAGGTGAAGGTATCTCGAGAAGGAGAGCTGGCTCTCTCCACCCTCGACCATACCAGGGCATTTTGGGGCTGAACTACCCCCCGAGTGTGATAGCTAATAAAACCAGCCGGTTGCCGAAACCAGATAGGTGGATGGTCGGTTTTGAACCTGTGGCTGAAAGGTGAACGGCTTAACTGTTGTGATTTTAAACCCGGCTAACTATCACGTGATTTATTCGCCAATCGAAATGAGACTTATACAATCTTAGTGCTGTGCCAAACCAATGACGTTCGACCGGTATGAGCAGCCTAGAGCCTTGATCGGTTCTTTGTTCTCCTAGCCCGCCCAGAACGCCAATAACAGCTTCCACTATTTGAATCATTTATTTAAACATACTTGGTTTATGTACCAGCCAAACAGATCAGATCACACCACAAAATAAGAAATAATATTTGTACAAGATCAAGCCAAAAAGTGGCTGTGATTGTGGGAGACTGGAATCAACAAGCTGAGTATAGTTTAAGAATACCAAATCGTATCATAATAGTCAATAGGTCCAAATAAAGCTTATAATAAGGCGAATATAGATTTTCATAATCTAGTTACTGAATAGTTAGACAATAAGAATATATATAAATAATATTACTTTATTAATAGATCTTGGATGTTACCTATAATTTAATCACCACCCGGACATAACATTAACCACTAAGCAACCCCTTGGCTAGTTACCAAGTAAAGGTTTATGTACTCTGTCTTCGTTACGTAACGGGTAATGACACAATACAACTGTTCGAATCAAATCGGATTAAGCAAAGGGTCAATTAATCAGTTATCATCAATGTGAGGGGTTTTACCGCGCGACATAGTGGCTGGAAGTGGGATGCTTTAAAAACATAGTACAACAGTAAAGCAACAAGGTGAAGACCAAATGAGTCAAAATGATTAGTATTAAGTAGTGCTAAAATACTTAGATCTTTAGAGGGAATCAATTAGGTTAAAGAATTAATTAGAAGTATAGAGTGACATTCAAACTATCAACTTAGATATATTTCCTGTTTATTTACTTATTGTGCCAATGGCAACCGATATCAAGTTACGTCACCATATAAAGTTCCTAAGCACTGGATAATCAGTCAGTATCTACAAATGTCATGTTTGTCTAGTCCTAAGTACTGTTGATCGAATTATATCGATAGAGTTACAATGTGGACATTATTGTCTAAGCGATTAAACGTCGTGTTTGCACTATGTTCAAATGTCAAGTATTTGAAGGTTCGAACACATCCGATAACACCATTCTTCTGAAAAATGCAGGTACGCTTTGGTAATATGTGCTAACTGGCTCAAAACCTGAGTCAAACAAGGTTTTCTGTTGATAATCTCCAGCTGACTAACATAAAAAAACATAGTAATTATAAACGAATATGAAAAAGCAACAAGATTAAACTATTGAAATACTACTCACCAATGAAATTAACGCATTTGTCCATGAGCTAAAGTATGAAAAGATAATAGGATGGATAAAATCACAAAGTAGATTGAAAATGTATTCGATTAAAACTGTTATATCCCGATGAGAATAACGAATGGTAACTTTTGGGATCCATTTATGGATCAATACTATACGTATACTTTTATCGTATAATTGTTAAGTAGCTAAACTATTCATATTCGTGCTCCTCTTATTATAAGCTATGTTTTAACCTATGAACTATTATATGATTTACCATTATTGAGTTATGCCCAGACTATTCATTACCTGCCATATTCACAGCCACATTTGGCTAACTCTTGTGTAAATGTTGTTTTCTATTTTATGGTACGATGTGGTCTGTTTGGTTGGTATATAAACCCAGTGTGTTTGAAATAAATGAATCATATCGCAGAGGTCGAGATTGGTATTCTGGACTAGGCGGGAAACAGGACCGATAAGGACTTTAGACTACTCGTAATTCTTTTATGCGTCATTGGTCCGATAGATAATTCACTATCCTCTAATTGGCGGTGTCATCACGTTATATATTAATGGGACACAGGGCACAAGTTATAACAAAAACAGCCTAAAGTCAAACTCCATATACATAAAAAAATTTCTGATACTATTACTTGTGAAAAATAAAGACGCTAATGGTGCACCAGTAACGTTTACCCCAGTAATCATAGTGTTTAAGGAGCAGTGACATAGACAGTGAGATTTTAGGATAAACTTCATCCTGATTTTTGAAAATCCATTGTAAATTTAGTAAAGGATTGAGAGTAGTCGAAAACGTCATTAAAATCCACACAGTAGTTAATTGTTTCATCTTAGTGAAAGATTTTTCAGCAGTGCCCACTGGCGAAGTCACTGCCCATCGATAATGACTACTTTACTCCCGACAAGTGGGTTAAACTAGTCACGGCTTTTCACTACACATACACTCTACACATTCTCTTGGTATGTCTGATTGGACTGCTGATGTGTGCCCCCAAATGTCCTGGTACGGCTGATAGTGAGGCGAGTCAGCATCCCTCTCGAAACACTCTCACATGACTACGCATATACTGTCACTACTAGGGAAGTCCTACTCACTAACTTCTCGTACCACGGGTGTTGTTTACGAAATTGAGAGGACGAAAATCGAATGTCCGGCACTTTAACCGGGTTGGTGGACATGGAGAGTTCACCTAAGGGAGTTGGAAAACCCTAATTCCAACCCAATGGTGTACATGGACTCCAGTATCCTAAAGGAACAAATGGCGTACGAACCTATTTTTGGTCACCGGCTTCCATGGGACTACATCTCCTTACGTTGCCCCATAGCCTTTTGGGTCAGACCTTCAGGTCGAAGGTTTTGGGTGTAGCCCCCTAACAAAACCACCTGTTCCGGTTTGGGTACCCGGACAGTATCACAGCCCTCACAGATATCAAATGAGATCTGTGTGGTGTATATGTATTTGGTGCCTCCTTATACCACTGTTTATACGTTAAATAAATAAAAAAGAATATCCTGACATGTAATCTATTCGACTAATTCACTCCTAATAAAGATTGATTCCAAGTCAACTAGTACTTTGCTTCTGGATTTCTCGAGTGGGAAGAAATCTAACCATACTCTGACAATTAGCTTAGATATATACGAAATAACACAATAACACCATTACTATCCAGAAAATTCATCACTACAGTCCTGAGTATGAAACACAGTTGTACAAACCTGTGTGACATACCCTTTACTTTGATAAAAATTGTTTTCAAACAAGAAAAAGGATTTAACTTCCTCAATCGGTTGTTTGATAACGAATATACCGTGCATTAACTAAGTGCTTATTTAAAAATCCGTAGAGAATATTCAAAGACAAGTTTTTTTCCTTTAGTCGTTGCTAGCTCTTCCACGTATTTCTACTTGCCGGCTCTAATGCTCTTCTTCACTTGTTTGTTTGCTTCAGTGTATTCAGCTTGTGCGTTGACTTTCTCTGCTCTTGTTTGGCTGTTGTTAATTTTTACCTTTTTGTCCTTCTTTTCTTGAATTTTGTCTAGGGCTTCGATAGAGATCCATTCCCTATTATGATACTTCTTGCGGCCCAGAACCTCTTGACACGTTGAAGTTAATGCTTCTTTGATGCTTTTCCAGTTGTCCTCCATAGTAGTTTCTTCTTCTTTCAGTAGATCTTGTAAGGCTTGGAACCTGTTGTTGAGAGCTATCTTGAATTCATTGAGTTTGACAGTATCTCGAAGGAAGGCTGTATTAAACCTTTGTATTGCTGTTTGTCCACTTGTCCAGTTATTTTTTAGCTTCAGTTTTAAATTGGCTACAACTAGGTGGTGATCTGAAGCTACGTCAGCACCTCTCCTGGTTCCCACATTTCCCATTGTCCTTCGGAATTTTTTGTTGATGCAAATATGATCTATTTGGTTCTCTGTAGTGTGGTCCGGTGAGATCCATGTAGCTTTGTGTATACGCTTGTGTGGAAATATTGTGCCTCCTATGACCAATTTGTTGAATGCACATAGATTTGCAAATTTTTCCCCATTTTCGTTTCTCTCTCCCAGTCCATGTCGTCCCATGATATCTTCACATTCGGTGTTGTCCATTCCGACTTTGGCGTTTAGATCTCCCATCAGAATGGTGAGGTCCTTTCTTGGACACTTCGCTATGATTTATTGCAACCTATCGTAGAACTGATCTTTATCGTCGTCATTGCTATCATTGGTGGGTGCATAACACTGGATAGCATTCATTGTAATCCCCTCGTGTTTTGTTTTGAATGATGCTTTGATGAATCTGGATCCGTGAGATTCCTATCCTACAAGTGCATTTCGTGCTTATTTGGACAGCATCAGAGCAACTCCCTGAGTGTGTGGATCATTTTCCTCTTCGTGACCGGAGTATAGCAGCACCTCTCTCGTATTTAGCCTTTGCTGTCCAGCTTGGGTTCAATGGGTTTCGTTGATTTTCAGTACTGCCGATTTGTATCTCCTCATTTCCGGTGCTATTTGACTGGTCTTCCCGGTCTCCCACATTGTCCGGACGTTCCATGTACCTATAAAATTGTTGCTCGAGTTGTTATAAAGGGCATCGGCCTCGTGACTTCCGAAGGAACTCGGCTTCTACCATGAGGCGTCATAATTATTCCTTCAACTCAGAGGGCAGAGTTTAAATGTTTTAAATTGTTTATTCTGATTAGCGTTTTTCTAGCAAGGTTATTTCCTTTGGGATGGGGCTGCCAACTCCTGCTCAACCCTCCTCCTTTACCCTGGCTTGGGACCGGAAGTAACTCTAAGTTATTTATTTATTTGAACACATATATATTGGTACAAGAGTGCGCCAAACATATATGCGCCACACAATTTCAGTTCATAAATTGCGTGTGGGCTGCGTTACTGCCCGGGTGCCCAGACCGAAGCAGGTGGTTATCTTAGGGGGCCACACCCCGAGCCTTTGACCTAAAGGTCTAACCCACAAGGCAGTGGAGCATCGTAAGGAGATGCAGTCCCATGGTAGCCGGTGACCGAAAATTGGTTCATACGCCATTTGTTCCCGCAGGATACTGGTGCCCATGTGCACCATTGGTTTGGAATCCGGTTAAAGCGCCGGACATTCGCTTTTCGTCCTCTCATTTTCGTAAACAACACCCCCGCCACGAGAAGGCAGTGAGTACGACTTCCCTGGCAGAGGCTGTATACGCGCGGCCGTGTGAGAGTATTTCGAGAGGAAGGGCGAACCCACCCCGCTCTCGGCCATACCAGGGCGTTTGGAGGCAACTCTAAGAGGGCCACAGGCTACCTAATTGGACATTAGAGTCACCTGCTACGAGTACTATGTTTGAGCGTTTAGCTTTTTGAAGATGTTCAGAAAGCTTTCTGCTAAAGTCATCTTTCACTTCATCCCAACTGCAGATAGTGGGAGTGTAGGCAGAAACGACGTTCGCCCCCAACCTTCCGAGTTCTTACGGAGCCGTTTAGCCGAACAGCAAACAGGTAACTGTAAACGGTGATCCGTTCTAATAGTGGTTGTTCTGCCCTCATAATTAGTGCTATGCCTACACCTTCCAGTTCACAAGAACTAGCCATCGGGTCGCCAGATACACGAAAAGTGTATCTCATCGGCTTTCCGTTTTGGTGAGGTGAGGTCAAATGAATGACTACACTAGGATCCTGTATGTGTGTTTGAGAGAAACAGCATACATTGATGCTACGAAATTCTATGGTTTTAGCCAAGGAGGCCAGCTGATCGATTTGACATAGGGTGCGTACGTTGAAGGCTCCAATGCGTAGTTTGGAGCGAGGTTTCAGTAGACTTGGGACAGAGTTTCGCGCACTAGAATCGTAGGCCATAGAAGCACTTCAGGAGCAAGCCGAAAGAGGAAGTTTAGAGTTGAAAGTGGATGTAGGAGGAATAATAGAAAATAAAGCGGGAGGTTGATTATGAATACAGTGGTCTTGAGTGCTGTTAGAGGTTTGAGGGCGGTTATCGCTTCCCGGTTGCCCACACCGTGGAAGGGTTGTTCTGAAGGTACCTGAAAAGGAAACCGGATTAGAAGTGGTCTTAGTGACTCGGGAGCGTGACCGCAGTGCCCAAGGGACAACTGCTTGAGGTCGGTCACACACGAACTTTTTATGGGCAATTTTTGTGTTAGCTCCACACTTGTTGAGACCTTACCGCCGGAGACGAAAATCCATGGGATAAGGCGAGATGTCCATTTTTAAGGTCGACCTTTCCTAACCCCATCCCTCCTTGTGTGAAGACAACATCGTTGTTATGTTGGTCGCCTGAAGGAAACACCCTACTGCCGTCACACCTCTGTATAGTCCGCAGTACGACTTCGCCTTCGGACCTTGGGTTTGTTGCTTTTAGTCTTACCGCTCTTCAACCGACCTGTCTGACATGGTAGGATCTTGAGGAACGGTTGGTTGCAGCCAGTATAGCTCGGTTGCTTCACCACGATAAGCAAGCACAGCCACCACACATCAAGGTAGCAGCAACGGTCGGGTGATTGGCTGTATTGTTGTCCAACGGTCTGTGTGATATCTTGCTAGTTTAATTAATTTAAATACACTTATAATGTTGTAGTTGGAGCCTACGCTGAGATATAAAAAAGCCGTAATCACTTGAACTGGGTAGTTTTGTTCAGTTATCGTATTGAATGAAATTTAGAACGTAGAGATAGTAAAATTCTGTTAAAGCATTGAAAAATACCTCAATGTTGCTTGATCCGGACAGGCAAACCAAGCCATTTGAGTCCCCATATGAGGTCCGTAGAGAACACCAAAAGCCAAAGGAATTTCTGAAGCTGTTAATGAGGTCGGGTTGCATGGAACACGGTGAAAAGGTTCTCCAAACGCTAGAAACGATGCTACACGCTAAAGCGAAAAGTTAGACAATGATAAGAACGAACTCTGATTTCAACACTTCGTTTGGGTGAGGTGGAAGATGCATCATCAAACCATTGAAACCAACCATTATTTAACAGCTTACAGTACACATTGTGCCAATTTTTACGATCTGAAATGAAATAGTGGTTTAAACAATGCTCGTACCTGACCACTTTTTCAGATAACCTTCCTTGATGGACATTGAGAAGTTTTATGGATCAAATACTTAGGTTAATGTTTTTCTCAAAAATAAAGTTTGGCAGCCAAAAGTTAACTGTTCCAAGAGTTGATCAGTAAACATAACAGAAAAAACTCCAGGGCTGAAATGAAAATACGAAACAAATTAGCACAAGAATCTTTCTTCTCTTTCAAGCGGAAATAGCAGAATGTTGGTAAAGTTAGCGTTTGATATATTATAGTGGTTTCTAGCATTGGAATCTTCATCTCCAAAGAGTTATTATTTATGTAAACACACATCAACACAAAGAGGCACCAAAATATTTATGCACCACACAAACCACTGAATTTGTGTGCGGGCTGTGACACTGCACTGGTGCCCAAGCAGGAACAGTTGGTTTTCTTAAGCCACTCACCGCGCTTTTGACCTAGAAGTCTAATTCACAAGGCAGTGAGGGAACGTTAAGAGATGCGGTCCCATGGTAGCCGGTGACCAACAACAGGTTTATACACCGTTTGTTCCTTTAGGATTCTGTAGCCCATGTGCAGTATTGATTTAGAATCGGGGTTTTCCAACTCCTCTTGGTAGATTCCACGTACTCACCAGGAGGTACCTTGAGTAAAATATTACTTCAACAAGATAGTAGGACAAAGTCGAAACTGAAGGCCTTGGGTACGAACCCCACGAGCGGGATTGTGGATGCTTACTGCTGAGGAGTCTCATAATAGGACGAAACGGCCGTATAATGCTTCCAGGTTTTCAATGGTGATCTAACATCAATCGGTTCAAGATCTCAATAAACAAATTAATTTCCACAACCCTATAATGATTGCCCCCAAATGTCCTGGTACGGCTGATAGTGAGGCGAGTCAGCATCCCTCTCGAAACACTCTCACATGACTACGCATATACTGTCACTACTAGGGAAGTCCTACTCACTAACTTCTCGTACCACGGGTGTTGTTTACGAAATTGAGAGGACGAAAATCGAATGTCCGGCACTTTAACCGGGTTGGTGGACATGGAGAGTTCACCTAAGGGAGTTGGAAAACCCTAATTCCAACCCAATGGTGTACATGGACTCCAGTATCCTAAAGGAACAAATGGCGTACGAACCTATTTTTGGTCACCGGCTTCCATGGGACTACATCTCCTTACGTTGCCCCATAGCCTTTTGGGTCAGACCTTCAGGTCGAAGGTTTTGGGTGTAGCCCCCTAACAAAACCACCTGTTCCGGTTTGGGTACCCGGACAGTATCACAGCCCTCACACAAATCAAATGGGACTTGTGTGGCGCATATGTATCTGGTGCCCCCTTGTACCAATATTTGTGTTCAAATAATAATTTAAAAAATAATAATAAGGACAGAGTCAACCTCAGTATCAGCGAAACAAACCAGTAATTGCATACAGGTTTATGTACATAGCTTTGAATAAGGGTTTTAGATACTTTGCACACCGAATAGAGATGTTGGATCTCAAAATATCCATTATTTCCTTTTCAGTGAATTAACATATGGAGCCAACACAACCTTGAAGAATGACTTCCACAACTTGCAGGTCCTTACTTAGAACGGCTACCACGAAATGTTGTGGTTTATGCTTAGTAGATAAAGTACTGTCCCGAAATAGAAACTTAGGAAAACCATTATGATAAAAGAGGCTATAAAAAATGTGATAAATCATGATATTCCCTCTTATTCTTTTATACCATACAGTCTGCAATTAGAGTTTTCAGGAAAAAAAGGGATAAAATTTGTTCCAACCTTTATGTTTATGGTTGCTTTTTAATGAAATTGATCCAGAAGACAACACAATAATGGGACATTTAATGTGAAATATTAATGGACTACTATAAAATAGTGGGTGGGTTTAACCACCGAAGTTTTGGAAGTCGAAGTGCGGAATAGATAATTTCAGCTAAGAAACCCTCCTTTCTTATTTACTGTTTACACAGTAGTTAGAGGGTTACAATCAAAAGTCCCAGCACTGTAGTATACACACGCCAATGAGTACGAAAAGATATCAAGCACCTAGGAAATCTAGTTTACTGGAGACATATTCGTATGGAACTGAACTTAAATGGCTTACAGTTGTTAAATGATAATGAATCCCATAACACGAGTAGGAATTATGATTTACGTATTATCTCCATTAACTCCACCTGTAGCCCTCTTAGAATTACTTCCGGTCCCAAGCCAGGGTAAAGGAGGAGGGTTGAGCAGGAGTTGGCAGCCCCATCCCAAAGGAAATAACCTTGCTAGAAAAACGCTAATCAGAATAAACAATTTAAAACATTTAAACTCTGCCCTCTGAGTTGAAGGAATAATTATGACGCCTCATGGTAGAAGCCGAGTTCCTTCGGAAGTCACGAGGCCGATGCCCTTTATAACAACTCGAGCAACAATTTTATAGGTACATGGAACGTCCGGACAATGTGGGAGACCGGGAAGACCAGTCAAATAGCACCGGAAATGAGGAGATACAAATCGGCAGTACTGAAAATCAACGAAACCCATTGAACCCAAGCTGGACAGCAAAGGCTAAATACGAGAGAGGTGCTGCTATACTCCGGTCACGAAGAGGAAAATGATCCACACACTCAGGGAGTTGCTCTGATGCTGTCCAAATAAGCACGAAATGCACTTGTAGGATAGGAATCTCACGGATCCAGATTCATCAAAGCATCATTCAAAACAAAACACGAGGGGATTACAATGAATGCTATCCAGTGTTATGCACCCACCAATGATAGCAATGACGACGATAAAGATCAGTTCTACGATAGGTTGCAATAAATCATAGCGAAGTGTCCAAGAAAGGACCTCACCATTCTGATGGGAGATCTAAACGCCAAAGTCGGAATGGACAACACCGAATGTGAAGATATCATGGGACGACATGGACTGGGAGAGAGAAACGAAAATGGGGAAAAATTTGCAAATCTATGTGCATTCAACAAATTGGTCATAGGAGGCACAATATTTCCACACAAGCGTATACACAAAGCTACATGGATCTCACTGGACCACACTACAGAGAACCAAATAGATCATATTTGCATCAACAAAAAATTCCGAAGGACAATGGGAAATGTGGGAACCAGGAGAGGTGCTGACGTAGCTTCAGATCACCACCTAGTTGTAGCCAATTTAAAACTGAAGCTAAAGAAACACTGTACAACTGGACAAACAGCATTACAAAGGTCCAATACAGCCTTCCTTCGTAATACTGACAAACTCAACTAATCTAAGATAACTTTCAACAACAGGTTCCAAGCCTTACAAGATCAACTCGAAGAAGAGGAAACTACTATGGAGAACAATTGGAAAAGCATCAAAGAAGCATTAACTTCAACGTGTCAAGAGGTTCTGGGTCTAAAGAAATACCATCATAAGGAATGAATCTCTACAGAAACACTGGACAAGATCAAACAAAGGAAGAACAAGAAGGCAGCAATAAACAACAGCCGAACACGAGCAGAGATAGTCCAAGCACAAGCTGAATACACAGAAGCAAACAAACAAGTGAAGAAGAGCATTAGAGCCGGCAAGTAGAAATACGTGGAAGAGCTAGCAACGACAAAAGGAAAAAAACTGCAAGAGAAGGAAATATGAAACAACTATATGATACAACGAAAAAAATAGCGGGGAAATATAGTAGACCAGAGAGACTGGTCAAGGACAAGGAAGGCAAGACAATCACCGAGATTCATGAACAGAGGAACAGGTTGGCAGAATACTTTGAGGAACTCTTGAATAGACCATCTACAATGAATCCACCGGACACCGAAGTAGTACACACAGACCTTCCTATAGATGTCACTCCACTAACGACGGAAGAAATCAGAATGGCCGTCAGACAAATCAAGAGTGGGAAAGCAACACGACCTGACAATATACCAGCTGAAGCTCTGAAGTCAGACATAGAAGCAACTGCAAGCATGCTCCACGTTCTATTCAGGAAGATTTAGGAAGAAGAATAAGTGCCACAGACAGGCTGGAAAGGACACTTCATCAAGATTCTAAAGAAAGGAGATCTGAGCTGCCGAGGCATCACACTACTGTCAGTACCAGGAAGTGTTTTCAACAGTGTTGCTGAACCCGATGAAAGACTCAGTAGACGCCCAACTTCGAGAACAACAGGCTGGATTCTGTAGGGACCGGTCATGCACAGACTAAATCGCGATACTACAGATCATCGTCGAACAATTTATTTATTATTTATTTTAACACATAGATATCGAACAATTAGTTGAGTGGAACTCGTCACAATACATCAACTTCATTGATCATGACAAGGCGTTTGACAGTGTGGATAGGAGAACATTATGGAAACTTCTTCGACACTATAGAGTGAGCAACTGAGAAGATCGTCAACATCATCCGTGATTCATACGACCGATTACAGTGCAAAGTCGTGCATGGAGGACAGTTGACATGCATTCCAAGTGAGGAACGGAGTCAGACAAAGCTGCTAACTTTCCTCATTCCTCTTTCTTCCACTTGTCGACTGGATTATGAAGACCTCGACATCTGATGGAAAACACGGAATACATTGGAGAGCTCAAAACCAATTTGACGTTTTGCACTTCTCAGATGACTTAGCTCTTCTATCCCATACATATGAACAAATGCAGATGAGGACAACTAATGTAGCAACAGCCTCTTCTTCAATAGGCCTCAACATACACAAAGGGAAAACCAAGGTCCTTAAATGCGACACAGAGAACACCACACTTCTTCAATAGACAATCCCAGAGAACAGTCCTTTCCAACGAATCGAAGGCGGTTTTAATGTCAAGAAACAATACGATTGTTGGCCTGTAATAATTATGACGATATCCTAACACTTGGAGGAAGGTGAGGATGCGATCGATACATCGTTGACCAGGACGAAAACCAGCCTACTCGTTGCGAGTCAATTTTCCCTGGTTTTTAACAATCTACGAAGTATGACGGAAGCAAATAGTTTGGACGCAAACCGAAGTATACTTATCTCTGATAGTTCTTGCATAGATGACGCGAACCCTTTTCAAAGATAGAGACAACTATCGACTCATTACATGATGTTGGAACACTCTCTAACTTCCAAACCTTTGTAAACAACGTCGTCAATTCCTTAGTCAGAAAGTCACCACCATCTTTAAAAAGGGCTGGAGGTAAATCATCTGGACTATGTGATTTGTAGCGTTTCAAGAGTTGGAGTTCCTTGCGGACTTCTGCCTCATTTGGTGGGTCAGTCGTCACCGGCCATGGAGGGCAGGACAGTCTGATTGATGTTGCCGGAACTGCCCTTCAAAATTCTTTCCATCGTCCAAGACGTCGATGGATGTTAGTGATTGGCGTTCCGTCATCCTCGCAGGTTGTTTCGCTCACACCAGGCTTCTTGCTGACAATGGCTCGGATGAGTTGGAAGAGCTTCCGGTAGTTACCAGATGCAGCTGCTGCTTCCAGCTCATTAGCACGCATCGACCACCAGGTTTCTCGGTCCTTACGCAAGCTTTGCCAAATTTCCTTACGTAACATCCTTCGTTTATGGTCAAACTCACGGTCACCTGGAGTAGACCGACAGGCTTCAATGAGTTGTAAGGAATCTGCAGAAACCCAGTGCTTATAAGCGGGACGTTTCGCGAACCCACAACTGACTGTACCCGCCATTTTCATGGCGTCATGCAATTGCAACCAATGCTCATCTATACTTTTCGGTGGAGTGGTAGCTAGCCTAGAGGCTAGCTCGGTTCGATACTTACTTGCAACAGAAGTTGCAACCAGCTTGCTAACATCAATCCGTTGATGGCGTTCACTTCGTTGTCCACTGAAAAGTGAGGCAAGATTGGCGCAGACCAAGGCATGGTCAGAGTCCAGATAGGTACTCCAAAAGGAGCGGCAGTCTTGTACACAACCACGCCAGCGGTAGCTGATCGCGATGTGATCAATCTGAGTCCAGGCTTGGGATGCAGAGGGAGCACGCCAGGTGGCACATCGGCGATGACTATGCCGAAAGTTAGTGCTAGTCAGAAACAGGTTGTGGTCTGTGCAAAGTTGCAGTAGACGGTCCCCGTTATCTGACCTGCGACCAACGAGTCCCCATCGGCCACCTAAACGACTCTCTTCTGTGCCTAGACGCCCGACCTGAGCATTCAAGTCTCCGGCTAGTACTACAATATCTGTCGAACGCACGTTCTGGAGAAGAACAGATAACTGGTGGTAAAACTCATCCTTGATTGCATCCGGGCTGCAATCTGTCGGGGCATAGGCGGAGATGACGAAAAGACATCGTTTCTCACGCCGATTTCCCCTCACTTTGATGGAACTTTCTAATCTAACAGCACATAACCGACTGTTAATGGAGATCCAATCGATTGGTGCTGCCTCAGCTCTAGCGCTTAGTGCGACACCAACGCCAGCAAGACCAGACGATGCAACAGGGTCCCCGGATAAACGCATGTAAAACGAGCTTTTCGAAGCGACAGATCGAGAGCGAATTTGTAGTACTTCACCAGAGTCTTGAATATGGGTCTCGGATAGACAACAAACATCAATATTAAGACTTTCTAAAGACATAGCCAGCCCTATCTGTTGTCCGACCTGCATAAGTGTGCGAACGTTGAAGGCAGCCAGTTTGAATGGTGCACGTGGTTTCAGAAACACTGCTTCAGTACTCGTATTCGGTGGTAACATACAATTTTCAACCGGACAGTGACTCGAGAATGTTTAGATAGAGCCGAATTTCCACCATAGACGAGCTGCTGTATAAGTCGAAAAAATAAGTATAAACAGAGTGGGAATAAAAGAGGGTGAATAATGACGTAGAAAATAATAATAATAATAATAATAATAATAATAATAATAATAATAATAATAATAATAATAATAATAATAATAATAATAATGCGAGTCACTTGATTGTTATTTGGAGCGAGAGGAATATTTTCGATAACTATATATCGGTTAAACTTCTGATTATTAACTAAAACTTATCAAGTAGGCAACTGTTGCTTAAGCACAAAATCACAGGGAATCTATGAATACAATGAAAAGATGTATTGAAAGTCAAATAACTAATTTAACATTGAAAAATTAGTACAAATGAAGTCACTGAAATCAATTATCCAAACTCATACTAGATTATCTAATGCCAAGGTTAATCGACGAAAATCGCCCCACTCTAATGAATAAATTTAAAGACTGATGCTTCCGGAATACACATTTGAGGATTTAGCACAACCAACATGATTGGACATTTCAGCCTGTGATTACTGTGTACCTAAAGGACAAGTCGTTACTTCAGACTATGCTTTTAGTGACCAGGTGATAGAAGCATCGGATCTAGCCGCTTTGAATTCAGCTGAATCTAGTAACGACGGTCGTATTCAACTCAGTATCTTTGATGTCAAGACCAGGCTAATTTAACATTGAAACTAACATAGAAGTGAATACAAAAATGGGATATGATCAATGGGAAACCGTGATCAAGTGGATGATCTCAGCTACATACACACGTGATGGAATTTGATTATTCACCCAGAGGTTACTAAAAGTGACTTGCAATTTGTTAAACTGAGAAATAAGTTCAAGACACTTCGCAAGATACAGATAATTGAGACTGAGTGCAATTAGTTCGGAAAGCTAGAATATCACGATCAAATCCCTTGACAATATTTGGTTTCTAATATATATCTTGACAACTAGAGTATGACATTATTTGTATAAAACTGAATTATCCACAAAGTAGGGAATAATGAGAATCTAACTGGGACGAATGCCGAAAAATTCACCCACATTTTCAAAAATAAACTTAACAAAATTACTCGTTTTGATTAAATGGACCTGATTTTACGTTACTAAATCCTCAGATAGACTTTAGGTCAATCCATGTATAAAATACAGCGACTGTACAATATAGTAGTTGAGGATCAATCAGGCAATAGCTTGATTGGTCTGAATCTAATGTTGATACGCTACAGTAACTTCACTGTCTCGGGCGAACCATGGCAAGCTTTAGTGAAATGGTGTGATAGGTCCTGTGCTAATATTGTCAAGCTAAGTAAAAAAAACGTCGGAATTTCCTCTGATCTGGGTTTCCCCTCCGAAATTCCACAGAATTGACCTGAAATCTGGAGATTGGGTATTCATGATATTTGGGGCGAGACTCTAATTTAGCGACGAGCCATTCTAGATATAGTCCGAAACGGTTATTCTCGTATATAAAAAGGCGAACTAAGAGAAGCAATGGAATTCCATCACTTTTGATACGAGACAATCCGTTAATCTTAGCAGAGAATGATACCGAAAAAGCTGAAGCTTTATCGGAATATTTTAGTAAAGTGTTTTCTATCGGTAATGAGGAACGACCAATGATTCATCGTGACCGTGACGGCTCGCTGATGGATCCTGTAGTCATTGAGAAAGATACTGATTTAGGGCTACTTCAGCATCTCAAACCTGATAAGTCCAGTGGTCCCGATGATATTCATCCTAGGATTATGAAAGCCATATCAGATGAAATTGCTGAACCATTAGCGATACTATTCGACATGTCTCTGAGACAGTCCAGACTTCCTAGAGACTGGAAAGACGCCATAATAAGTCCGGTGTATAAGGCTGGGAGTTGGGATTTAGTTAGTAACTATAGACCCGTTAGCTTAACTAGTGCAGTTGTGAAACTGATGGAGAAAATCATTCGGTTATCTGTTATAAACTATGTTGAAGGGCAAAATCTTTCCTCCAGGGCACAACATGGTTTTCGGAAAGGCCCGGTCCCAAGCCCGGGTAAAGGAGAAGGGTTGGGCATGGGGTTAGCGTCTCCATCCCGTAGAAAACTAACTCGCTAAAAAAACGCTTACCAGAAAAAACAATCCACACCATTTTAACTCTGCCCTGGGAGTTAGAAGGTCTTCATTTAGAAGAATTATGACGCTTCATGGTGAAAGCCGAGTTCCTTCGGAAGCCACGAGGCCGATGCCCCTTCTAACAACCAGAGCAAAAATTTTTATAGGTACATGGAACGTCCGAACAATGTGGGAAACCGGGAAGACCAGTCAAATATCAATGGAAATGAGGAGATACAACTTAGTAGTACTGGGAATCAGCGAAACCCACTGGACCCAAGCTGGACAGAAAAAGCTAGTTACGGGAGAGATGCTGCTATACTCCGGTCACGAAGAGGAAAATGCTCCACACACTCAAGGAGTCGCTCTGATGCTGTCCAAACAAGCACGAAATGCACTTGTAGGATGGGAATCTCACGGATCCAGATTCATCAAAGCATCATTCAAAACAAAGAAGGAGGGGGTCTTAATGAATATTATCCAATGTTATGCACCCACCAATGATAGCAACGACGACATTAAAGATCAGTTCTACGAGCGGCTGCAGTCGATCATTGAGAAATGCCCAAGAAAGGACCTCACCATTCTGATGGGAGATCTAAATGCCAAAATCGGAATAGACAATACTGGATATGAAGATATTATGGGACGACATGGACTGGGAGAAAGAAACGAAAATGGAGAAAGATTTGCAAATCTATGTGCATTCAACAAATTGGTCATAGGAGGCACAATATTTCCACACAAGCGTATACACAAGGCTACATGGATCTCACTGGACCACACTACAGAGAACCAAATAGATCATATTTGCATCAACAAAAAATTCCGAAGGACAATGGGAAATGTGGGAACCAGGAGAGGTGCTGACGTAGCTTCAGATCACCACCTAGTTGTAGCCAATTTAAAACTGAAGCTAAAAAATAACTGGACAAGTGGACAAACAGCAATACAAAGGTTCAATACAGCCTTCCTTCGAGATACTGTCAAACTCAATGAATTCAAGATAGCTCTCAACAACAGGTTCCAAGCCTTACAAGATCTACTGAAAGAAGAAGAAACTACTATGGAGGACAACTGGAAAAGCATCAAAGAAGCATTAACTTCAACGTGTCAAGAGGTTCTGGGTCTAAAGAAATACCATCATAAGGAATGAATCTCTACAGAAACACTGGACAAGATCAAACAAAGGAAGAACAAGAAGGCAGCAATAAACAACAGCCGAACACGAGCAGAGATAGTCCAAGCACAAGCTGAATACATAGAAGCAAACAAACAAGTGAAGAGGAGCATTAGAGCCGACAAGAAGAAATACGTGGAAGAACTAGCAACGACGGCAGAAAAAGCTGCTAGAGAAGGAAATATGAAACAACTTCACGATACAACGAAGAAACTAGCAGGGAATTACAGTAAACCAGAGAGGCCGGTCAAAGACAAAGAAGGCAAGCCAATCACTGAAATTCAACAACAGCGTAACAGATGGGTAGAATACTTCGAGGAACTCCTGAATAGGCCGGCTCCAATTAATCCAGTGGACATCGAAGCAGCACACATAGATCTTCCTATAGATGTCAATCCACCAACTACGGAAGAAATTAGAATGGCCGTCAGACAAATCAAGAACGGGATAGCAGCAGGACCCGACAACATACCAGCTGAAGCACTGAAATCAGACATCGAAACAACCACAAGCATGCTTTATCTTCTATTCAAAAAGATTTGGGAGGAGGAACAAGTGCCGATGGACTGGAAAGAAGGACACCTCGTCAAGATTCCAAAGAAAGGAGATATGAGCAAATGTGAAAACTACAGAGGCATTACACTACTGTCAATACCAGGGAAAGTCTTCAACAGAGTGTTGCTGAACCGGATGAAGGATGCAGTAGACGCCCAACTTCGAGATCAACAAGCTGGATTCCGTAAGGATCGGTCGTGCACAGACCAAATTGCAACACTACGGATCATCGTCGAACAATCAGTTGAGTGGAACTCATCATTATACATCAACTTCATTGAATATGAAAAGGCATTCGACAGTGTAGATAGGAGGACGTTATGGAAACTTCTTCGACACTACGGAGTTCCTGAGAAGATTGTCAATATTATCCGGAACTCATACGACGGACTACGGTGCAAAGTAGTGCATGGAGGACAGCTGACAGATGCATTCCAAGTAAGGACCGGAGTCAGACAAGGCTGTTTACTCTCTCCCTTCCTCTTTCTTCTGGTGGTCAACTGGATTATGAAGACCTCAACATCTGAAGGAAAACACGGAATACAATGGACAGCTCAGAATCAATTAGACGATTTGGACTTCGCAGATGACCTAGCCCTCCTATCACGTACACACGAACAGATGCAGATGAAGACAGCCAGTGTAGCAGCAGTCTCTGCATCAGTAGGCCTCAGCATACACAAAGGGAAAACTAAGGTCCTCAAATTCAAAGCGGAGAACAGCAATCCAATCACACTTGATGGCGAAACTCTGGAAGATGTAGAGTCCTTCACATACCTGGGAAGCATCATCGATGAACAAGGAGGATCCGATGCAGACGTAAAGGCGAGGATCGGCAAAGCAAGGGTCGCATTCCTACAATTGAAGAACATATGGAACTCAAAACAACTTTCAACCAATATCAAAGTGAGAATCTTCAATACCAACGTCAAGGCAGTGCTACTGTATGGAGCTGAAACTTGGAGAACTACAACAACCACAATCAAGAAAGTACAAGTATTTATAAATAGCTGTCTACGCAAGATACTCAACATCCATTGGCCGGATACCATCAGCAACAGCCTTCTGTGGGAGAGAACCAACCAACTTCCAGCTGAAGAAGAAATTAGGAAAAGACGATGGAAATGGATAGGACATACATTACGCAAATCGTCAAACTGCATCACGAGGCAAGCCCTAACTTGGAATCCTGAAGGGAAGCGAAAAAGAGGAAGGCCAAAGAACACATTGCGTCGGATAATAGAAGCAGATATGAAAACGATGAATTACAACTGGACGGAGCTAGAAAGGATTGCCCAGGACAGGGTTGGGTGGAGAATGCTGGTGAGCGGCCTATGCTCCTTCACGAGGAGTAACAGGCGTAAGTAAGTAAGTAAGTAAGTAAGTAAGCTATCTTGCTTGACAAATCTTCCATTGCACGAGAAGAGTGGGCTGCGACAAAGGATCGGAATGCTCCTGTGGATGTAATTTTCATAGATCTAAGTAAAGCCTTTGATAAGGTTTCCCATTCTGGTCTTAAATCCAAACTGAAACGATTTGGAATCCATTATACAGTCTTAGATTGGATAAGTAACTTTCCCCATGACAGGAGACAAAAGGTAAGGGTTAATGGGGTTCTCTCGTGGGTACCTGTAAAAAGTGGGGTTCCCCAAGGCACAATCCTAGGTCGTCTTCTCTTTTTACTTTATGTAAATGAATTGCCAACTGTAGCAAAATCATCCGTTCTACTCTTCGCTGATGACATAAAGATTTGGAGACCCATACATAGTATGTCGGATAGAATAGTATTACAGGACGATCTTAGCTCATTGGTGGCATGGTTAGACAGGTGGTCACTAGAAGTAAATCCTAATAAGAGTGTAGTGATGCAGTTAAATAACTCTGATGAATCGTATGACTATACACTACGTGGATTCGTGCTACCCAAAGCAAGAAACTATAGACTTAGGAGTTATATTAAGCAATGATCTCAAAACGACTAGTCACTGTAAGGCTGCTGCTGCAAAAGGCTATAGGGTATTATGGTCAATTCGTAGGTCTTTTCAGTATTTAGATGATGAAATGTTTGGATTACTATACCCGATTTATGTGCGACCACATTTAGAATACGGGATTCAAGCAGCGAGTCCTTGTTTCAAATATGAAGCAGATATGCTAGAAAGAGTCCAACGACGAGCTACTAAGATGGTACAAGGTCTATCTGGCCTATCTTATGAAGACAGACTGAGACACCTTAACTTATTTCCGTTATCTTACCGCAGAGTACGGGGTGATCTAATATTGGCTTATCGTATACTGAACGATGACCTTGGTATTAACATGTCTTATCTTTTGCTTCCGTCTAGAACCGATCATTTGAGAGGGCATTCGAAGAAAGTTCAAAAACCGAGATCAAACCGTTTACGTCTGGAGTTCCGTTTCTCGCACCGAGTAGTGAATTACTGGAATTCTCTACCGGAACACGTAATATCAGCACCGTCTGTTAATATATTCATAACGAGATTGGACCTCCACAGTATTACAAACTGCAAGGATTAATATAGGTCGACAGACCTCCTATCCTTATTACTGAAGACTGTTTGAGCAATTTCAAGGTCACTGAGCCAAGTTCAACACGCGATGCTAACATACGGTCGGTTCACAGCGGATTTTAGAGAGGAGGTGATTAATAAGAGGTTAAAACAGATGGGACAGCGAAACTCTAATTTAGGGATGAGCCAATGAGAAGCGTTTGAGCAATTTCAATTATTAGCCAATCAGAAGACAGTATAAAGTAAAAATATATTACGAGAAAGTAATGGATTGCAGTGGATATTCTTCTTTTACATGATTTAAAAACTTGTTAAGGTTTGATGAAGGCTCAGAAGTTCTGAATTCATAACGCATATTGTATAGAAACTCATCCATAGGATTAGGGTTTGGGGTTAAGATTAGGGTTCGGTTAAGGTTAGGGTTAGATTAGGGTTTAGGGTTGGGTTAAGGTTTAGGGTTAGGTTAAGGTTAGGGTTAGATTAGGGTTTAGGGTTAGGTTAAGGCTAGGGTGCTAACATGCGATCGGTTTACATCGGATTTTAGAGAAGAGGTGTTTATCGACAGGCTACAACCCCAACCCTGACCATAACCCTAAACCTGACCTCGAAAATCCGTTGTAAACTGATCGCATGCTAGCACCCTAACCTTAGCCTTAACCCTAGCCACTAACCTTATGGACGAGTTTCTATACCATATGAATTATGAATTCAGAGCCGCTGAACCTTTATCAAACCTTAACAAGTTTTTAAAACATGTAAAAGAAGAATATCCACTGTAATTCATTACTTACAATATATTCTCACTTTATACTGTCTTCTGATTGACTAATAATTGTCAAGGTCATTTAAGATTCGTTCAAAGGTCGTCCCTAAATTAGAGTCTCGCCATATTTGGATAGAAAATAGCACATATAAGTGCCTTACTCAACAGGTATTGTGACAGGTTAAAGAAAATGGGAATAGGAAGATTCATTTTATTGAGGTGGAAACCGATGAAAAACATTACCGTCCTACCTAATTGTACAGATCTAGCAGCCGACTCAAGGCAACGATCCAGTGATATCGTCTGTTGACGAAGGTTACTGAGCTCTTGAAGGTCAAACCGTCGTAAAACGATTGATGTGTCACCTCGACAATTTGTGTTTTTCCCCAAGCAGTCGAATCAAAACAATCTTAAACTTGGTTTCAGTTTATACGCATTATGTTTGGTGTCCTCTATTCTTTAGGTGACGAAAGTGATGCTATAGTGATGATGATTCCTGCGCGCTATTTTAAAATGATAATGATATGTTCCCTCTCTGAGCTAACTTTGTGGATTCGAT